GTAAATATTTCTGATGAATCATTGAAAAAAGCACAAAAATTGTTTGAAGAATCTGATGAGAGCACACTATTGAACCTTCCTGAGATATCTGAAATCCCTTTTGGTATTGGTAATGGGTCTACTGTGAAGGCTAAAAAGATAACATGTGAGTTCACGGGACTCAATTCTACAGATCAGGCTTTCAAAGGATTTTCTACTGCCAGTGGTAAGAAAGTAAATGTTTCTGAAGAAGCCTTAAAAAAGGTACAGAACTTGTTTGAAGAATGTAATGGCGCTTCACCATTTAACCTAATCGAGTCGTCTGAAATTGTTCCTGATGGTCATAACATGTCTGTGACGACTCTGAGTAAATCAATGGATCATAATTCTACAGATCTTGCATTCAAAGAATTTTCTACTGCTAGTGTGAAAAATGCGCATGTTTCAGATGATAAACTAAAAAGAGTACCGAAGATGTTTGAAGAATGTGTCGATCGTGCTCAGTTTGAAAATTCGTTCGCGAACAGCGACAGAGCAACTATTGTCGCTAACAAATCTCAAGAAGTAAAAACTCCAAATACTTTCAGTCGAGTTCCTATTTTCGGAGGATTTTTAACTGCAAGCGGAAAAAACGTAACAGTAACTGAAGAAGCCCTAAATAAGGCTCAGAAACTCCTAGAAGAATGTGCAGACACCACTCCTTCCTTCGAACTGTCAGAATGTTCTTCCGACAGGAAGATTCGTACTGCATCCACCAAGACTCTTCCAACAAACAAAAACTCGCAGCTTCAAGAAGAAAGCAGTTTCACCGCAAGCAAAAAAACGATTATAACTTCCGACCACAATGTATCGACAAAGAGAGAATCCGCGAAGGAAGTCGACTCGTACGTGGAGACGCCCGTGAGATCGCGCGTGGAGAGAGCAGTTTGCTCGAAGAGGACCTTCGACTCTTCGCAACCCGCCAAGAAGTTCCGCAAGGACGATTCGTTCAGCGGAACCGCCGGAGAACAACCGAGCTGCCGAACGACAGCTTACGCGACACCGCCCCCTCCGGCCGCCCGGCGGCCGTGGCCGCGCGCGACAGGCGCCGCGCAGAAGCTGTTGTCGGAGGAAGTCGCGGCAGATGTGCGTCGATGTCGGCGTCGCTCGCGTCCAGCGACTGCTTCGTCTGGGCGAGGCAGCTCTCCGGCCGGCGCGCGACGGGCGGGGCGGGTTCGTCGCGCGCTGCTGGCGCGCGGCGCGCCATCCGCCCGGGCCGAGGAGAAGGGGCGGCCTTCGGCGCATGGACACCAGCTCCGGCTCTGCCTCGTCAATGCCGCGCCTTCGCTGAGTGATGTCCGATTGCTCCGGCGAAGGCTCT